ACCCTTGGTTAAACAGATCTTGGGAAAAGCAGAATGTGCTGTGTAATTCCAGTTACCTCGTTGGTCAAAAAAAGTACAGCAGGGCACAGGAAAGAATATTTAAAGGAAGGAGGAAGAGACTGCTCCTCCGTGCACTGCTGGGAATGGGGTTTATTTCCCAGGAGCCTTCCACACGTGAAGAGGTTTTTAGGAGAAAATCAGGACTCTGAGCTTTTAGTGGCTGTGATCCTCAGAGAAAGAATTCCAAAACGGATGTGTGCGATGTCGACTCCTAACGCTGCTGCTCTTGAGCTCTCTGGGAACGCGACTCGCCCCGGAAAGCTTTAGCCCCTTGAATCTTTGGAGCGGGAGAGATGGAGGCCACCAATTTTGGGCTGGTTTGGCCAACTTCCACTGGCATTCTGAACGGCGATTTGCCAAAGGATGGCTTGCTTTGTAAGACCACAGGCAGAGCTGTGCCTGGCCATCATACGTGAAGAAAGAAAGAGTGCCATGTAAAAAAAAACACCCCCACAGTCAAAGGTAACTGAAATCACAGCAAAAAGCCCAGAATCATCAGAAGGAGTTAATTTCCAGCCAGCTCAGTTAGCTCCCCTGCAAGTTTTCTGACGGAGGAAATAGCCCTAGAGACAAAAAGCTATGTGAGGTCAGCGGAAACACAGCGGGTGCTGGACCAGAGGGATGTACCGCAGCTGCTTCCCGTGAGCTGCCTTCCTACTTACGTAGACACCCGCTCCCAACGCTGCCAAGCCCACGAGAAGGGCAGAAGCAGCGCTACCGCCGCTGCCCCCGGGCACACCGCCGCTAGCCAGCTGTCTGCTCAGCTGCAGCCTTAGGGGAGCATTCCAGCGCTGCAGCAATTTGCCTAAGGAATACAGGTTATTAGAGGGGGGAAAAAAAAGCCACAACAGGACCGTCAACACGTTATGTTTTGAAACTCAAGAGGCTGAGTCGTTTCTGCAGCCCAGTCAACAGGCTGCTTGTCTGAAACGCCCGGTGCCACACCTGAGGGCCTGCAGCGAGTTATCCTGTGCCACAACAACCGGCTCCGAGCAGTTGTGGACAGCGAATGCAGTCAGATCAAAGAGTAACCGACCAAATGAACAGCAGGAACATCTGCTAGGAAGCTGGAAAGACGACCTCCAGCTGAAGGAGCCCTCAAGCCAGGTGCTGCCGGGAGAGCGCGCGGGAGACGCGTGTGCTGCTCCCGCACCCCTCTCCAGCCTCTCCTGCCGGAGGCAGGATCCGGAGACGCACTTTGCTCCACCACGCACGAGCAGAGGCTGACATAACCTCGTAAGGACAAGTGGTGGGTACGGCTGCACCACGGAAAAACCCCTTTGCCAGCACAGCTTCTTCCACTGAGAAGTGTCAGCAGAGAGCGGCTTCTGCCGACAAAAAGGGGGTCCCAAAGGCAACCGGGGAGCAAGGCTCGCCGGTCGGACGAAGGCATCGGCAAGCCGAAGGGCGCACCCACCCCAACACCCCCCGACCCTTGGGTTTACCGTTGTTTC